ACTGAGCCACCCAGATGCCCTGCTTTTTACATTTTGCCCATCTATTTTCCACCTTCTTAAAATCACTATTAGATGTCACAAACTAGTAGCCACCTACTGTAACAGCAATCAGCACTGTTATCCAAATAATTCCAGTTTTCCTTCTGGGTACATGGTAGGATTGCACTTCCCTGCTCCCTGAAGTTAGGGGTAGTTCCATCAATTGCTTTGGCCAATAAGATGTAAGCTACTTCTGAGTGAAAGCTTTAAGAGTCAGTGTGATTCACCACATTCCCTTTTCCCTGCTGTGACAAAGACGGAAGTGAAGAGATACGGCCTTCCCCAGCATAGTCCATGAATGAGGAGAAGGTGGGTTAGGTAATCTGATGATGGTAGCTACAGGTCACTGATGGTTACTGAGCTGGTCTAAGGTAGCTAGTACAAAGGAAGGCACGCTATAAGTATAAAATATCTAGACATCAGATTTTGAAGAATTAGTAAGATAAAAAGAATATAAATTTTATCTCACTGATACTTTTTTTCTATTGATTACAGGTTGAAATAATATTTTGGATAGCTCTGGTTAAATAAAATATATGATTAAACTTGAGTTCACCTTTTTAAAAAAATAGTTTTAAAATGAGGCTACTAGAAAAATGTGAATAACATATGTGGCTCACATTCTCAGTATCTCCTGGACAAGTGCCACCGAGGAGAGGGCCCACCTACTCGATGCTAAACATGCGCATGAGTGAAAAATACACTTTTATTGTTTTAAGCCTCTGAGGTCTGGGGGTTGTTACTACAGCAAAACTGAACCCACACTGACTAGTATATCTACTCAGCAGTCACTCCTCCCTTCTCCTCTGTGGAAGAGCTCTGACTCTGTTGAGGGCAGAATAAGCCAGTCTAAATCCTTCCTATTTTGGGCCTCCCCTGGCTGCAGGGTAGCCATGTGACAAAGTTCTAGCCAATCAGCCTAAGTGGAAGTTCCCTGGGGTTTTCTGTGAAAGCATTTACTTTCTACAAGAGGGAGAGGCATGGGTAGTGCTACTCCTCCCTCTCTTCTTCCCTTCAACGTGGATATGCTATCTGAAGCTTGCAACTTTGAGACAAAAACAAGAGTGAGGACGAAAGCAAACCCCCCAACGATGGTGGAATGGAAAAATGGAGAGACAGAAGAACAGAACAGAACCTGGGTCCCTTTGATGGCATCATCAGGCCCCTAAACTAACCCCAGCAACTGCCAGACTCAGGGCTTTTATGTGAAAAAATAATCCCCTATTTGTTTAAGCTGTTATTTGTCAGTTTTCTTTTACTTGCTGCCAAAATTGTTCCTATCTGATACAGGTCTATTCTTGGAAACAGCATACAGATGAATTTGTCAAGCCAATCTGATACAGTCTTGGTCCTTTGTCAGGAGAATTTGGTTCATTGAACTAGGTTTCATGCCTACTCTTATGTTTACTGTTTATGTTGTTTGTTCTTTTTTTCCTTTTCTTAATTTTGATGGCTTGTTTACATTTCTGCCCGTTTCTCCTCTCACTCCTTGTACATTCTGAGGATCTGTTTTCTTTCTTTCTCTCTTTTTAAAAAAAGTGTGTGTGTGTGTGTGTGTGTGAGAGAGAGAGAGAGAGAGAGAGAGAGAGCGAGCAAGTGAGCAAGTAGGGGGAGAGGCAGAGGGAGAGGGAGAGAGAGAATCCCAAGCAGGCTCCACGCTCACCACAGAGCCTGACATGGGGCTCTAATGAAGATCTATTTTCTAACTGTGCTGCTTGTTACAGTTCTATTCCTGATAGTTATATTTATTCCTACATTTTCTATAATTATATCATAACAGAAGATCAATCTCACCCAGATTTTTTTTTGTCCTCTCTCTGAATCATCACATGTCTGAAAATGTATTTCCTTTGCTTTGATAGATAAATGGTATCTTGGCTACATATAGAATTTTTGGTCTGGAATTCTCTCCCAGGAACCTGTACATTTTTCTCTCATAGTCTTCTGGCTTTCAATATTATTGATGAGAAGTCTGGTACTAGTATAATTCTTTTTCTTTTGAAAATATCTTGTTCTGGTAGCTTGCAAGATTTTCTCTTTACACTTAAATTTCAGAACTTCAACAGCATATATGTGCTCCTCCACTTGCTTCCCCCCATTCCGCTGCAGACTTGGCTAGCCCTTATAATGTACACATTCGAGGCTTTTTTTTCCAGCTGAAGAAAAATTTCTTCTATTACTGTTTCTCTTTCTGGAACTCCTATTACTTGCTGTTAGGTCTCCTAGATGCCTCTTCCTGGCTCACAATAATCATCTCTGTGTCTCTGGTCTGAACTGTAAGATATTTTTTCCACTTGTTCTTCTAGAACATTAATTCAGTTCTCAGCAGTGACCATCCTCAGTCTCCTTTTTCTCAGTTTGTTTACTGAATTTTTATATTTAGAAATCATGGGATTTCTTTTTTAAATTCTAAAAGTTACTTTTGTACTCAAAATTCATTTCTTGAAATATCATTTCCTGAGTTGTCTACTTAAGTTCTCTTAGGAAGCCTGGGAGGCTCAGTTGGTTGGGCATGTGACTTTAGCTCAGGTCATGACCTCTGGGTCCTGGGATCAAACCGTGCTGGGCTCCACATTTAGCGGGGAGTCTGTTTCCCCTTCTCCCTCTGCCCCTCCTGTCTCTCTCTGTCTCTCTCTCAAATAAATAAATCTTTAAAAAGTTCTCTTCTAGGGGTGCCTGGGTGGCTCAGTGGGTTAAGCCGCTGCCTTCGGCTCAGGTCATGATCTCAGGGTCCTGGGATCGAGTCCCGCATTGGGCTCTCTGCTCAGCAGGGAGCCTGCTTCCCTCTCACTCTCTCTGCCTGCCTCTCTGCCTACTTGTGATCTCTCTCTGTCAAATAAATAAATAAAATCTTTCAAAAAAAAAAAAAAAGTTCTCTTCTATCTGTTCCACTAGTTCTACCTCAGTGGGAGCCTCATATGCTAGTTTTTCAACTTGGACCTTCTCAGCAGTGGCAAATGAGGGAGCAATGCCAGGCCCCACAAGAAGCAATGTTTTCACAGTCCAGCAGAGCCCAAATTGACAAACCACAAGAGAGGAAGAAAGTCCCTGTAGTAATGGTCTCCTGTAGGGCCCAAGAAGTAAAAGCAACTCAACTCATCCGTATAGCCCCTCCAAGGACCACACACATTAAGTGGGCAGTAAAGGTCCTTTCCAAAGAGATCCACAGCTCTTGCTGGCTGGGGGGCCTCAAAGGACTATTTGCTTCAAGTCTGTCCCAGGACTCCAAGGAAAGCAAGCATTTTCCTCTGTTGGTAGGTCCCTGTTTCTCACTGAGGACCAGAGAGGATGAATCCTGTGCCTGCTCTTTCCCCTGGTGATGTTGGGAAAACTAGAGGCCTTAACGCACTTTCCAGGTTCCACCAGCAGGCTCACCTGGTTTTATCAAGAGAGAGAATTTAAATCGTCAGAGCCATGTGCTCAGGTTGTCCTTCCCCAAATCCTTTTCCTTACATTCATATATGCTTTTGAAATACTGTATTTTCTAATCCCAAAAGTAATTTAAGCTTATTTTGTGAAAATTAGGAAAAGCCAAAAGAAAAAAGAGAAAGAAGTAGAGCACAGAAGAAGGGAGAACATCCTATATATAATCCCATCAGCCTGAGATAATCTCTTCATATTTTGGCATATATCATTCTAGTCTTATAAATGCCTGTGTGTGTGTATATGACTACATGTGTACTTATAAATATACTCAACTACTACGTTTTATCCCCTAATATACTTATAAATACACTCACCTACAAGTTTTTTATCTCCTAAGTGACATAGGTGAACATTTCCCTATGTCAGTAATAGTTACGAGACATCATTTGGAACAGCTGCCAACTACTTGACTGTGGTTATTCTGTGGGGTTTTACTGTCTATTGTTGATCATCAGGTTGCTCACAATTTTGCAATCTTATAACCTATGCTGGACAGTATCCTATAGTTCAATCTTTGCACATCTATAATTATGTCAATAAATAACTGCTAAGGTTTTATGATTACATTGTCAAATTTCCCTCCAGAAAGGTGTAACCGATTAAATGGCTACTAACAACCCATTTACATCTTCTACCCTCTCTGTGGCTACCCCTCATCCAAACCAAATAGTATCTTTATAAGTATCTTTAATAATTTGACAGATGGAAAAGGCTAGCTCACTGTTTTAGTTTGCACTTCTTTGATTACTAACCATACTGAACACTTTTCCTGTTTACTGACCAACTGAATTTCTTATTTTGTGAAATGCTTGCTCAGGTCTTTCGCTCACACTATTTGGGACATAAAGTTTTATGGTTTTTGTGTCCTCAATCTCAACTGTCTTCACAGTGAATAATCATCTTTGTCTTTCAGTGATTGTTACCTGAAATTCTATTTGACTGAATGGCTGTTGCAATCCCTGCTTTCTTCTTGCTTGTGTATTTGTGTGACATCTTCTTGCTCATCCTTTTACTTTTAGCTGCTCTGAGTCACTTTGCTTAGGGTATGTCTGTTAGGCGGCATGTGGGTAGAGTTTAGTTGGTTTTTTTTTTTAACATATTATGAAAATCTGACTTAAAATTTTATATGTGAGGGGTTTAAAGAATATATAACAAATATATTAGACAAAGTAGTTAAATCCCTTTATACTTATTATCGGTTTTTGGGATGCCTCTGTTTCTCTGTTTGTCTTTTGTGTCTTTCTCTGCTACTGGTTCTTTAGCTTTCCATTTCATGCAGCCAACCACCCAGGACAGAATGTTATAAAAATGTGAAGTGATTCTTATAACTATCATCAAGCATGTGCTTCAGTTGCTAAATGGGAATGACTGAGATATCCTGACAAAGAAGCTGACCTTTTTGGTCAGTTCAGATCTTTCAGTTAATGGCTGTACATGTAACCATCACAGACCCTTATTCAGGATATCCATGAAGGGTGGGACAGATACGCAGCCACAGAGGCTCTGCTGAGTGCACAGTTCGTGCCCGCACTGACCTTCTGAAGCCCACCATTCTCCTCCACCAAGGGCGGAAGCACACTGGGGCTGCTGTTGGGCGGCGCCTCCACATTGTAGTCACGGAAGCAGCAGAAGAAGGAGCTGAGGATGCCACGGCTCCTCTGCTTCTTTAAGCTGACGTTGCACTGGGATGCTGGAAAGAGAAACAACACACTGTGGTCAACTGCAGCACATACTCCTAGTTGTCATGCAATGGGAAAACCCGAATGTGCAGCTGTCCCGCCCCAGGGAGCCCCGATACCAGGAGACCTACTCAGCACAAGAAGATGAGGGGCCCTAGAAGTTATTATGAAGGACTGTTATTCAACATGTGATTCCTAGAGGGCCAGCTGGTTGATGGAGTCCAATCCTGCTGGCTGGACAGAATTCCTCTGACCTCAGCCCAGTGGGGGCTGCTTGCTCATTAACTGACCCATCGTCAGGGCCAGGCACCATCTGCATTGCTGAACCTAGCAGACAGTCTTCTGACCCGGGACTGAGCACCACTTCAAAACAAAGATCCTTTCAGGCAAAATCAGACTTGACACTCTCTGAGAAGCATTTCTCTGAGAAGGGTACCAAGAAAGAATCACTCTGAAACTAGTCTAACTTCATTAAGAGTAACTTCATCATGAGATAAGGTGTGTAAGGGCATACAGAAGGCCCCTTCTTAAATTCTGCTGTTTGTCAAGAAATGGATGGGAGGGCTGGAGTCCTCCATGACACTTCAGCATAAACAGCAGATGTGGGACAGAGAGCACATGGTCCAGCAGGAGCAGGGCTGGCAAGGGCAAAGCCCATCTTCCTGAAACCTGGGGCAATCCTGTGCCATGGACTCATTTTCTGGCCTGTCCTGGACTCAGCCTCCCAAGGGATTGATGCTATCCTTTCTGTTATTCAGGCCTCAAGATGAGCTGCCACAAGTCAGATTTAAAAGGCCAAAAATTAGTATAAAATGAAAAACACATCTCAGGAGAGGAGACTGACAACCTGGAGGGCCAGGAGCAGTGCCTGGGAATGCAGCCAGGGCTGTCCCACCACATACCATGTCTGGGTGGGTCAACAGTACTGAGCAGAGGCCATAAAGGGCCTGTGCTTGGGGTTAACGGGGGAAATTACCAATGTAGGAAATCACTGAGTCCACATGATAACTGTTGGAGTTTATCTCTCCCAAAAAGCAGTTTTGGCATGATTCCTCTGTGTACTTGAGTCATTTGTACAGCACCTTCCCTCTCAAGAGATCACAAAACTTCTGCTAATAGTCTTGGGGTACTTTTCTGCCAGCAGCAAAACCAACATGAAGAAAGACTGAAAAACTTCTTGCCAGCAACTCCACAGGCATGGATGGCCTCCAGCCTGGGCTTGGGCGAGTGGCTCAGTAAGTGTGAGTTTAAGATCCCCATTCACTAACTACGTGCTTCAGAACCATAACCCCCTGGAAACACTAGCCGTTTTATCTTTCTTGAGAATGCCTGGGCCCATGCCACAGGCACCAGTCTTTTCACTTGGGGCACCCGATGGCAGGCCAAGCCAGGCCACAGGGACCTCCAGGGACAGAGGCCTCCCAAGCAGCAGAGCGGTGGTGGTGGGGGGCACATGATAATGACCACTGTTTACTGAGGACCGGCCCTCTTTACTCTACTACTTTACAACCCTCACTTCATGGAACCCACACAGCTATCCAAGGAGATCAGCATTACTGCCTCTGTCTTACCGCTGAGGGGATACAACCAGGAATTCGTATGCTGGGATCTGAACCCAAGAGGGCTTGTTTCCAAAGTGTGTGCTCTCTCTGTTGCCATGCTAAACACAGTCTAGACAGATCAGGTCAGATCAAGGAAGGAATATGCCAAATGGAGAGAAAACACTACAATAAATTCTTACTTAATATAAAGAATTGGGTGGGGGGCGCCTGGGTGGCTCAGTCCGTTGAGTGTCCCTTTGACTCTTGATTTAGACTCAGGTCATGATCTCAGGACTGTGAGATGGAGCCCGGTGCTGGGCTCTCTGCTGGGCCTGGGGCCTGCTTGGGATTTTCTCTCTCCCCTTCCCCCCCTTCCCCCCCTGGAGTTGCTCAGTTGCCTCACCTCTAGATAATAAACAAATAGTTAATTTGAAAAAAATGTCTGATTGATTAAACTGTTCTGTTGTTACTTTGAGTGCTTTAGTTTTCATGCCACACTCAAATAATTTAGTCAGAGGAAGAAAAAATACTGCCTGCCTCTTCCTTGGCTGATAGCACATTTCTCTGCAAGTAAACAAGAGATTTGTTCATGTCTCAGAGACACTGAGCAGCCGATGCCCGAGCTGGGCAGTAAATAGCTCTGTAAAAAGCACCCCCTCAGATCTCATTTTCATCCTCAGATCACATACATTTTCCCCACAACCACCTAACAAACAAATTAAAAAATGAACTTCTACACTAAAAAAAGTCCTGAACCTGGAGCCAGTGAGCTACTTATAATTTCTACCATATGACAGCTTACCATGTAGAAGCCACAAATAGAGCGCTGGGAGTGAGTCCCTGGGAAGGCCGTCACCCCCTGAGGGGAAAGCAGCAGTTCACTTACTTACGCCACGAGGTGAAGCAACCCAAAGTGGTCTCACTTCCAAGACTGAGGGAGGGGCCAGGCCTCTTCCCATTAAATAAGCTTCGTTCTAGGGCCTACAGGAAGCTTTGGAAGGTCAGGGGTTGCCTACTTTGCTAATCGCTCCTGGACTGGTCTGGTACTCTCAAAATCAGGCTAGCAGGGGATATGAATGGAGTTGCTCAGGACCAGCATCACCCTCAACCCCATCCTCGGTACTCATTTGGTCCTCAAAGGGCTCAAGATGCTGGCTGGTTGGGTCTAATAATCCTACTGCCTTCCCCCTGCAAATTGCTTTCTATCCATTACCGAGGCCTGGCCAATCTAAGCCATGTGACTGGCTTAGGATTGGGCATTTGACCCAACCTGGGCCAAGGAGAGTGTGCCCCACGATTCATGCTACAGCCCTTTGAAAGGATGTTCTCTTTCTGCTGGTTTGCCAAGTGGGTAGGATGTAAACCTGGAGCCCCCGGTGGCTCCTTTGTCACTAAGTGAGAGGCACCTACCCGAGCATAAGCCAGAACTGAGGAAAAAGGAGCCTGAGATACAGAAAGGGATGGTTCTCTGACAATACCATCTAGGGACTTGGTTTCATTAAAACCAGATCCTCCTGGAATTTTCAGTTATGTAAGAGAATAAATTACCTGTTTCTCTGGGTTTATGTTATTTGTGGTAGAAAAGATTATTCTTGAAAACGTCAGCTCCCAGGCAAGGCAGTGTAGAAACACTGGTGAACCACACAGGTACCATCCCTACCTCATGTGGCCCACGTCTGGCATGAGAGACACTGAACAGTGCAAGGCACTGATGGGGCCCAAAGTCCAGATTTGGGGTATGGTAGGAGTTATCTCTTAGAAGAAATGTTTTCTGAGCTGGGCTGACAGTGCATACCATTGCTGGAGGGGGCAGGGAAGTGGGGAAACAGCAACGTGTAAAGGGCCTGATGTGAGAGACAGCATGATGTATCTCAGAAATCAGAGGAGTTGCCATGGTTGATGACAGCCTTGCAAACCAAGATGATGAGTTCGCATTTGCCTCTAAGGAAATGGGGAGTAGATGAGCAGATCGTACTACAAATGTACTACAAATGTACTACAAATGTCACAGTTTGACCTCTGGAACTGGAACCTCTGAATTTAAATTTTAAATTGACTGATATAGGCTATTGATCTGCATCAAAGATTTCCAGAATGCCGTATTTGCAAATCAGAGATATGGACCATTTTGGGTAAAGAGCCTAGAATGGAAATTTCTTACTTTAAAGTTGACTTTAAATCTATACTTTCAATGCCATCCCAATCAAAATTCCACTAGCATTTTTCAAAGAGCTGGAACAAACAATCCTAAAATTTGTATGGAACCAGAAGAGACCCCGAATTGCTAAGGAAATGCTGAAAAAGAAAAACAAAACTGGGGCATCATGTTGCCTGATTTCAAGCTTTACTACAAAGCTGTGATCACCAAGACAGCATGGTACTGGCACAAAAACAGACACATAGACCAGTGGAACAGAGTAGAGAGCCCAGATATGGACCCTCAACTCTATGGTCAACTAATCTTTGACAAAGCAGAAAAAAAATATACAGTGGAAAAAAGACAATCTCTTCAATAAATGGTGCTGGGAAAATTGGACAGCTATGTATAGAAGAATGAAACTCGATCATTCTCTTACACCATACACAAAGATAAACTCGAAATGGATAAAAAGACCTCAACATGAGGCAGGAATCTATCAAAATCCTAGAGAAGAACATAGGCAGTAACCTCTTTGACATCGGCCACAGCAACTTCTTTCAAGATAAGTCTCCAAAGGCAAAGGAAACAAAAGCGAAAATGAACTTTTGGGACTTCATCACTATTAGAAGCTTCTGCACAGCAAAGGAAACAGTCAACAAAACAAAGAGGCAACCCACAGAATGGGAGAAGATATTCTCGAATGACACTACAAAGGGCTGATATCCAAGACCTATAAAGAACTCCTCAAACTCAACACCCAAAAACCAGATAATCACATCAAAAGATGGGCAGAAGACATGAACAGACACTTCTCCAAAGAAGACATACAAATGGCTAAGAGACACATGAAAAAATGTTCATCATTATTAGCCATCAGGGAGTTTCAAATCAAAACCACATTGAGAAAGCACCTTACATGAGTTAGAATGGACAAAATTAACATGTGCTGGAGAGGATATGGAGAAAGGGGAACCCTCTTACATTGTTGGTGGGAATAAAGCTGGTGCAGCCACTTTGGAAAACAGTGTGGAGATTCCTTAAGAAATTAAAATTAGAGCTACCCTATGACCCTGCAATTGCACTACTGGCTATTTATCCCAAAGATACAGACATAGTGAAAAGAAGGGCCATCTGTACCCCAATGTTCATAGCAGCAATGGCCGCAGTTGCCAAACTGTGGAAAGAACCAAGATGCCCTTCAACAGATGAATGGATAAAGAAGATATGATCCATATATACTATAGAGTATTATGCCTCCATCAGAAAGGATGAATACACAACTTTTGTAGCAACATGGGCGGGACTGGAGGAGTTTATGCTGAGTGAAATA